ACATTGTTCTAAAAGTTTCTAAGAATAATCATGTTTTCATAAACTAGTTTAATAACCTTTTCCTTAATGTTTGAAGATAATTTTTGTTATCAGAACTTTCTAATGTCTTGTGAGAACAATATTTATAGATAATTAGACTAAGGTTGCAGTCAGTTTTTATTATGGGGCCTGATAATTCAATGTTTTCTTTCAGTAATTAACGTATGGGGGGGCTTAATGTCTGAATTATTTTATATTAAAAGAAATATGTACAGCAATATAAAATTTTAGAATTCAAGATTTTGATATTAAAATTTGTAATTAATGTTTACACAAAATGAATATGAAAACTATTTTTGATATAATATTACTGAAAAAAGTCAAGTTATAGAGGGTGAAGGAAACTTAAATATGCCACATTTATTGTTCACCTTGGTTATTTTTAGACTAAACAAAGAGATTATTTAAAGAAGTCTCATATTTATTCTCTAGCAGCATTTGCCATCTTAAACTAATTGTTCTGTGTTAGTTCTCAGGCAGAACTTCTCTGTATTCCTCAGTTTTACCGGAAAAGTTTATAAGTAAGAAATGGTTGTGATAATATTTCAAAACCTAATATGGTTTCTTTATCTTTGTGTTCCTAGAATCTTGTCATTTAGTAGAGACTATGTTACCTCACCATTATGGTTAAAATAGAAAATTAATTTTAATTCTGTCTTCTACTGTTTAAAATGTATATTTTATCAAGCAGAAGCTAATATTTGTGTCAACTTGTTCATATTTTTTCCAGTAATCATCTTTCATTTCTTCTTTTTTGAATATGTAAATTCGAGTTTAGAAGATGATATGAATGTTTAGGTAGTCTCACTGTATGTTTTACAGTAATTGGGTCAAAGGTAGTTTCTTGTGTGGGTGTTCATTCAATTATTCTAATAATGTGAAATTACATTTAATTGAACAAGTTTTTGTCAAATACTGTTGTGTTGATTTTTGTAAGCTTTGGGGTTTTATGGACAATATCCTGATTTTTAAATGAATAACCTCAATTTTAAAATAGTACTATTTTAAATTCCTGTTATTGTAAACAAGTTTTTTTTTAACTGTTACTCAACATTGTAGTGTCTTAGGCTAATTCTTCTTATTTAGTCTTCAGAATTGTTTCTTCTGTTTTGGAGAGAATGCTTGTAGAACTTAGTGGTTTTATGAGTTCCTCCATGAACTGATGATTTGATAAGCTTGTTTGTTATTAAGATTAGTATGTTGTCTGTAGTTACTGGACAGTTCTTGGAAATACCTACATATGGTTTTTATATTTGTCAATCATTCTATCTGACTGGGTGCTGAGAATGGTGTTTGGTGGTCTGACTTTGGCTTCATTAAATATTTAGATGGTGAAGTTTAGAAGTGAGGATATGATCTATTCTTTCTGTCTAATAATGTATGAGTTTTTATACGTGTTAGTGACTGTGGCATCATTAGATTCAATTGAAGTTTGTGTTTAGATTTCAAGTGATGGCGTGATGTGTTCGATTGGTTGAAGTGATGGTATGATATGTCTGTTTGTATGAAGTGATGGTATGATATGTTCAATTGTTTGAAGTGATGGTATGATATGTTCAATTGTTTGAAGTGATGGTATGATGTGTCTGATTAGTTGAAGTGATGGCGTGATGTGTCCGATTGTTTGAAGTGATGGCGTAATGTGTCAGATTGGTTGAAGTGATGGTGTGATATGTTCAATTGGTTGAAGTAATGGCGTGATATGGTCAGTTGGTTGAAGTAATGGCATGATATGGTCAGTTGGTTGAAGTAATGGTATGATATGTCCAATTGGTTGAAGTGATGGTATGATATGTCCGATTGGTTAAAGTGATGGTATGATATGTCCAATTCATACCAATATGCTAATTAATATGATGTAGTAGAAATGATCAGAAATAAACCTTAATGTAATTCTGAAGTTTCCTGCGTCGGTATTTTAATGACTTGTGATTTGCACAAGTTTATAAACAATTAAAAAAAAGTAATTTTGTGTATTTTCGTTTTTAATTCTTTTTTTTTCTTCTAATTATACACATATGTGTTGTGTGTAATTACTGGTGAAGGCCCTACTTGGGTAGGCCTATTTTACATATTATTTTGGATGCCAACAGTGTATAAATTTGTGACACCTGAGGACGTCTGTATTTTGTTAATTAAATAATTAGTAAAATTAAATCCATTGTGGTTTATTCTAAGAGGCAGTATTCTAGTATACAGCATATAAAGTTTTTCTACAATAATCTTTATTATTTCCGGAATATTGAATATTAATAAAGTACCTTTTGCCATAAACCGAAATATTTAACACTAATAAAATAAAATAACTGCTGCGTTAAACCGAAATATTAAACACTAAGAAAGTAATTATCATGCAAGCAGTTTTTGATTAGCGTGAAGTCATTATCACGTGACAGCAACCACCAACTCCACACACACACAAATCTATTTATTGTTTTAACGAACTTATTCTTCGCAGACAAATTAATTTTGAGGCTTGTGAATAACAATATTTTAACACACTTTGTCCAACAAGTATGAGATTCTGGAAGTGAAAATGGTGAATACTAATACATGTATCTAAGTGAAATACACTGATTTACTAGTTACTATTTAATTAAATATTCAGGTTAATGTTTTCACAAATATAGTTTAAGAATATAATTTCTCATTTTTAAATGTACATATGTTTTGATAACACCATTCGGGTGCAGGCTTTAAATCAGGCTCACAAACGATTGTTAATGTATTACATGCTGCCAAAAGGCCTGGCTGAAACAGACTAGACAGCGGTGGTTTCTGCAGTATTATAGATTGTTGAAAGGCTCGAACTTTGTTTTCAGATTTGTCAGTCAACCTAGAATTTAGATCAGTGTACACTGTCGTAAACCAGTTATGTCGTTGGTTTAATTATAGAATGAAAAAGCTACCAGAAATTAATTTTTAAGAAACACTTACGTTAGTTGTGTTATGATAAATACCTCGTTCATTCTTTGAGAGTGGGAATATTCATAAACAATTTTCTGTTTCCTTCAGATTGAATTTTAAGTCGTTATAAAGCTAATGATTCGATTACAATCAATATTATAAAGATCTGAGGATTATTGTGTTCAGTAACACAGTTTATAGAATTAAATACAAAATAATGTCAAAAGTACCAACCAAACGGGGCATAAATTACACAGGCCTTCAATGGATTTTATTGTCTTGAAATTCTTGCATATTCTACAGTAATTCCTGTACGCTGAATCCGAAAATTATATCCATTTTTTTTCTATCACGTACAGATTTTTTCACGAAACATACGTGAATGCTCCCCAGTGGCATAGCGGTAAGTCTGCGGACTTACAACGCTAAAAACCGGGTTTCGAGAGCACAGATAGCCCACTGTATAGCTTTGTGCTTAATTTCAAACAAACAAACATAAGTGAATCATAATAATGACTGGAGACGGCTTGAATGGGTAATGAAGAAAAACTTTAATATAAGTTTAACATAACAGCAAATGTACAACGTTTCGACAAGGTTTTGTCATCATCACGTACATTCATTACTCATTCAAGCCGCCTCCAG